CCTCCTGTTAGGCATTCGCTTCAACTACAAAACAAAACTAATGAAATCAATGTAAAGTTGCCTGCAGTACACACATAGAGAAAAACACAAGGCGTACAATAATTAGGCATGCGCGCGTTCGTTTTAAACCGAAAGTCCAGTGTATTATATTTATCAGCTGGAAGTCGATAAAAGTGACTTAAAACAGTCTTAGCGAGTTAATCTCTTGTGTGACTTTCATATATATTCTCTACGGCTTTTATTACAAGATCTAATAAGTACCTACGAGTGTTCGAGACGTTGTCTAGTGGTCCTGCTCGGTTCGGCCAGGAAGGCGGCAAAAGCGAAAGAGCAATCCAAATGTCCGGCAGTAAACTTATTTACTATGTGGGTGTATTCATCATGCAGTTTGCAAATCTAGATATTCGCTGGCGCGTGCTACAGAAAGAATGCAACAGTTATGAATAAGAACTACTGCTGATTACTACAAGCCGAGATGTGTGTCATGCAATAGGAAAACCATTGTTAATGTTATACAAAGCGTGCCCGTAAGTAGTTGGGTTAGTTTACATTTTTTTGTCACCCTTATTTTATGCTTGTCATCTAATCGACAGAGTAGCGGAATAAAAACGTTCTTAACCGACTCTCAACCCGAGGAATGTTCTGGGAGAATGTTCTTAAAATCTTGGTTAATCTCAGCCTTAACGTTCTTATAAAAAAAAAAGTTATAGTTGTCTCAGTCATCTCATTTGCCTACTGAAAGACTATTCCAACTTAAAATTGTTAACAGATTGGTCTTGAAAACACACACCATAATTTAACTCTTATCTCGACGGCCTTGTTTGCAAGCGCTTAATTTGATCAACGCTCGACACCTAAAACCCAACACTTTACATACACAGAACTTTGATCAAAAAAAATGTCAGCTATTATTGCAACTCTTAACTTCTGTTTTACATCACTAAGGTAACGCAAATTAAAGTTCAACATAGAACTGTTTGTTGCTGTTGTTAAAAATGAATCGCATTTATTGCTGGTCGGGACTTTCGTTAGACTTGTTGGCTCCTAAAGGAGCCGTTTTTTTAAGGGGGAGCTTGTAGTCAGGCACTTCCCTAACCACCAAATCCGTAGAGAGTACGTCCTTGGCGTTTGAGAGCGTAGACCACGTCCATGGCTGTCACTGTCTTTCGTTTGGCGTGCTCGGTGTAGGTCACAGCATCACGTATGACGTTCTCAAGGAAGACTTTCAGGACTCCGCGAGTCTCTTCGTAGATCAGACCAGAGATACGCTTCACACCACCGCGGCGAGCTAGACGACGGATAGCAGGCTTGGTTATGCCCTGGATGTTGTCTCTTAAAATTTTACGATGACGCTTAGCGCCGCCCTTTCCTAGACCTTTGCCTCCTTTACCGCGTCCAGACATGACTTGTTTTAGATAATCCAGTAGCGAAACTGCGAGTTAACGAACCCTGCCGACTTTGCTGGCGCTTTAGTTTGTCCAGTTGTCCCTCTCGGGAAACGTAACTTTCAAAACAAAGCAAAGGCGAACGCTTTGCCGACAGTCTCATGAATATTTA